CCCCTCCCCCCCCCCCCCCCCATGCGAGAGATGGAGTCACTCACCTCGAGTGGCGAGTCGCCGACGGGCCAGAGATGACAAGCGACGGCGCAGATCCACCCACAAACAATCCGCCGACTTCAGCCTGTCCACTGCCATTAATGAACGACGTCTGCGCGGAGGACAAGTCCTGCGGGTACGCCGGCGGAGGGTGGACATGACTGTGTCCTCCTCCACCAGCACCTGCTGCCGCTCCTCCTCCTACACTCGGAAATGAGTTCGGTGCTGGCGGCTGATGCTGATACCCCGCAAAATAGTACGGCGACAAGTTCTCCATCGGCGGTGGCACCACAACCGACACAGCATGCAGCGCTGCATGGCCGTCCAACATTTCATGCCCATTGCGGGCAGCGAGGACGCCACCCACCGCACACGACGGCGAGCCACGCTTCTTCGCCCTCTTCCTGTTTAACCGAGAAGAGAGACACGAACGAATCACGACTTCGTTCGACCGGAAGAATACTGATGCGGCTCTCAAAACGCCAAAAGCGAACCCAGCGGTAAAAAAAAGATTCTTTCCAGCGCGACAAAATCATGCCGCGTCATCACTATGTAAATTCCCCATGCTCAGGTGACCTCTCCCACACCAAACCCCCCGTAGGCCACACTCATCAATCTCACCCCGAAGACGAGGAGGAAGACGAAGACGACGTCGTCGCAGGAGTAAAACCCGTGTTGGTGATAGTGTTGGCAGGTACTGCCGGTGTGCCCACAACATTCGCCATTGAGATCGGCGGTGGGAAAGGCGGAAGTAACAGAGACGTCGACGTAGAGGCAGGCGGCTCCCGCAGACCACCACCACCGTTGACGCAGCTCATAGCAGTAGTAATAGTGGTGCCGAGACTCAGTCCTTGGCCCTCGGCCAACGCGTGAACGCGGTGCAGCACGCCTTCGCGCCGGAAATGAACGCCGAACACCCGGGGCAACTTGTTGAGGAAGATGGACGCGAGCTGAAGAGCGCCCACGACCACCTTGAGGTCCGTGGATGAAAGCATGCCAGCCAGCTGGCTCGAAACCTCCTGCGGTTTCAGCACGTCCTAAACAATTTGAACACGACGGTCAACGAGGATTAGCTTCCCTCAGGGGGGAGAAAGGTCGAACGAATAGATACCTGCAGCAAATCTGGACTCGCGAAGTACACCATTCGGAGCAAGGCCCGCAGGCACTTTTGCCGCACCGCTGGCCCGGCCGAAGATGAGTAAACTTGATACACAACTCCAAACAGGGCCTTGACAAATCGAGTGGCAAGCTCCTTGTCCTCCACCAAGAGTTTGGCTCGAGCATCCTCGGCCGACTCCAATTCGCCGCCGCTGCCACTTCCATTCTCAATTTTCACCACGATTAATGCGTCTGGACACTCGTGTCGATCTCGCTTTCCTTCCAAATTGGGAGGGACGTCCTCGTCGCCACGACGACGGCCGCCACCGTGGTTACGAGTATTATCATCATCGTCATCATCCTCGTCCTCTTCTTCCTCCTCGTCCTCGTCGTCATCATCATCATCGTCCTCGTCTTCGTCGACGTCATCCTCGTCGTCTCGGACCCTCCTCTTTTCACGCACTCGTTTCCCTTCCCCGACATCTTCGTCGTCGTCTTCCTCCTCCTCCTCATCATCATCATGACCACCACCACCTCGCCCAACTCCTTCCTCATCCTCCTCCTCTCCGCCGGCTACATGCCTTTGAAAGAGTGGCTCCTCCGGATCCGTTCGGCCCCTGCCGCCTCCTCCTCCTCGGCGTCGTCGTCGCCGTCTCCGCAAAATGCTCCTCGTCGAGCCTGTATCCTCGTTCATCAGCTGCATGGCTTGCAAGTCCACTGTGAAAGTCGTGCCCAGCGTGTTGAGACTGATCTCGTCCTCGCCCTGAAGGTACGCGTCCTCCAGGGTGCTCGAGTCGACGGCAGAGTAGTCGCGCCAAAAACCGCCGTCGTCCCGCCACTGCCAAGTGACAGCAGCGGGTGACCGAGACGACGACGATGAAGACGACGCTGAACATGAGGAAGTGCGGCGGGGAAGATCCGAACTTGACGCAGAATCTTCCATCGTCATCGCCGCCATGGTTGTTGTTGTTGTTGCTGCGGTGGGAATCGAGTTAGTCGCCGCCACGTTTGATGCGGTCATGATAATGCCAGGAGGAAGGGTTGGGGGTGGGATGCATAACCGATTCGTCGTCAAAGCTGTTGCAGACGTCGACGTCGCCGCCGTCCCCAGCGGAACACTACTATTCGCCGCCGCTGCTGCTACTGCTCCTACCCCACCATGCGACGTCGCAGCCATCCTCGTCATGGTTGCAACGGGTTTCACCATCAGCGGGTCCACGTGAAACAGTGGCTCCGTCGTCGGCAGCGTAGGCATCAATTCCGCAATCAACGACACGATCTCAAACAGCTCCTGCGGGCTTCTCGACAACAGCTCAATCTAACCCGAAAAAGACAGCGAGGCAAGAGATGAAGAACGACATGAGCACAACACAACAAACAAAGAGGAACTCAAACACACGAATGCACTCTCGAAATCACCCCACGTCGAGGATGAGGTGCACGAAAAAAAAAAAAAAAAAAAAAAAAAAAAAAAAACGCACCTCTTCGTTGCTACTCTTCTGACTCCCGCTGCCCGTGAGCAAGTACGACAGCGTGTCCACGATGTTCTCCTGCAGTAAGTCGACAGCGACCGGAGAGCAGGCGCCGCATATGACTGCCAAGAGACGGATGACGGTGATGAAAGTTCCGCTCGACACGACTGGCGGCGACACGACGAGGAGCTGCTGCAGGTTCTTGAGCAGCGCTCGGGACGCCAGACGACGCAAGATCCCCGCATCCGCTTGGCAATTGTCCACGAGGCGACTCAGGCCCAAACACACGCTTTCCACGCTGCGCCGGTCCTGATGAGCTAGTCGGGTCTCCAACAGGCCAAGTGAGTCGGCCACGAGTCCGAAGTCGCCGGCCTGCAAAACCTGGCAGCAGTTGGCTGCGATGTTCAATGCGCGTCGCTGAGCATTGATGGAGAAGAAGTCGAGATGCATGAGACAAGCAGAGACGCCCTTCTGCAGAGGAAACAAAAAGCAAAATTAAATAAGACAAAACAGAGAGAGAGAATAAACAGATAGAATTTTAGTCGATCCCACTCACCGCATTCAATATGGCCTTGGCGTGTTTCCGTGACAGCGTGTCCAATGCGGAGAGGCTCTGCTCCGCCACGTCCATGCACTGAATAACCTGCACTTTCTCGAGAAACGACGGAATGGCCTCGACCACATACGAGCTGGACCTCGGGAGGGCCTCCATCATGTAGGTGAGGGCGCGACACGCATAGTGCATCTATGCAAACAGGATCATGAACAAACGTCGGAACAATGCTCAAGTTGGATGCAGAGAAGACTCGGGAAACACTCACAATCTCGAAGTTGTGCTCAATATTCAGTAGGGTCGTGAGTGTCGGCACAGCTTGCTTGACCGGGAACCCACTCAGCGTCTCCTCATTGCCCATGACGAGCAGCTGGCAGAGCTCAATCAGCACCTGCAGCTGGATGCTCTGGTCCGTCGTGCCCTGCAGCGACGACAACAGTTGGTGAGCCTTGGACCCGGTCGACGATGAGCCGATGCTGCGCTGAATCAGGTTCTGCACTCGTGGCGCCAGCGACCCAAAGAGATGAGCCGGCACTCCACGTGACTCAAGTAGTGCCTGCAAGCGTCCCATGTCCGACTCTTCGTTATTTCCATTACTGCTGCTGCTGCCGCCGCCGCCACCACTACTACTACTGGTCGCATTACCACCTCCTCCATTGCCGGCCGCAGCAGCAGCTGCTGCGGCAGCGGAAAACAGACTACCGAGCCCCGAGCTCGACGCAGCCGCGCCCGCCATCAGGACGCCGCTCGTCGAAGGCCCGGCCACGTCAGACGCAGACGCAACGAGTACACCTGCTCCCGGTTGAACTTGAAGCAGTTGCTGCTGCTGCTGAGCAGAGTGTCCTCGGCTGTCCCCCGAAGAACCGGTCGCCGCACCAGCAGCTCCGCCGCTACTAGTGGTGGCTACGGCAACGCCCGCACTACCACGGGACGACCGACCCCGGCTGTGAAAGGCCAATTTCACAAGATAATCTCAACTGACGCCTGTCTCTGCCAACAGTCGAGTCCATCACCCCAATTTACAATGAAAGCAACTGAAGACACCAAGTTTTCAGTTATATCGCTACTCCCTTATTGAATACAAGTGCTCTCTCCACTTTTTTTTACATTTCTTCATGGGTTTTCAGCGTGCGACAAAAAAAAAAAGGAAAAAAGAGGAGGGCGGACAATGTGTACACAGTACAGTTTCAAGTACACGACACAAGACGTGAAAGTTTCCTCCACCATCACAACGGAAAAGAAGATGAAAGAAAAAAAACAAATCGGGAAATAAAGGGAAAAACCTTCAACAACATACCTGGAACTTGCACAAGTACCCGTGGTGACGGAGGAGGAGGAAGGGGCCCTCCTCCTGGACCGTTTACCGGGCGAAGTTTTGGGTTTCTGCTTGCTTTTGACACCGCCGCCGCTGCAGCTGTCGGAACGCCGGGAGCGCTTGCGTAACGGCCTGATCGCTGCTTCCTCACTGAAACTACTGTTCCCCCCCACCACCACCGCCGTTGCCGCCTCTACCTTCCGCGCCCGGGTGGCCAACCGCCCTCTCAGCGGATATCGACAATCCTCCTCCTCCTCCTCCACCACCACTCGTTCTAGATCCTCTGCAGTTTCTGTCAGAACAAGAAAGACTTGCAGACTTCACATGGCAACTTTTGAGACGGAATAATCAATCGAGGGAAAAGCCCCCCCCCCTTCCCTATCCCCCGTTGACAAGACAATCACAATCGACGCAACTCACCACAGCCGAGGTCGTCGGTGTTTCTGTGTTCGGTTATCCGCTGCTTCTTCTTCCCACGTCGTCGGTAGCCACACGCTGTCCTTGGCAGCTGTTCACACGTATTCTGTTCCCTCCCCTCTTGCTGCACTTCCTCTTCTTCGCTGCCTTGCTCTCCTTCGTCTCCGTCCGCACAGTTTGGTCCACTTCGCTTGACCCCTCTTTTGCTGCCACTACCACTCGTTTTTCTTGGACGTCCGCGACTCTTGACTGACAACGCTCGTTTCCGCGATAATCCGAGTGTTTCGCCACTCGAGCCCCTCCTCCTGCAAGGCGAACAAGCCGGTCACAATGCAGACAGAAAAGCCCACCCAAGACACTTATTCTTCTTTCACACTCACTCCATGTCATCGATCGAATTCGAGCAAGCAAGCAATCAATCAATCAGAATCCTTCCCTTCCTAGTTGCTTTTAGGACAATGCGCTTTCCGCAAGTCTCGTACTGTACTGTACTTCGTTCTTAACACAACGTGGGAGTAACTAAATAACCACAGCTAAAAGCCCCAGAGTCTCTCATCCAATTACTGTACAGCCAATTTCCGTCTGGCACATCCTCATCCACTACAGACCTTCATCCACCGCCAAGAAATTACTTACCCACCCGTAAAACATTTACCAACAGATGTAATAATGGAAAAAGCGGGTGAACTGTGTGCTGTACGAAATGGCCAGTTTCCAATAGATCTACACCTGTCTCGGTCTCAACCAACTAAATGAAAGTTCACGAAATGAAGAAGGGAGAAACGTGCACAGAAAGAAAGAAAAAAAAAAACGATTCAAGGTGATGAACACGATACAGGTAAGAGATGCGCGTACTACAGCACAGTACAGTAATAAAAGAAGAATATGAGCACATCGATTACGATTTCTCCTCACCTGCTTGTTGACGGTCCTGGAGTTTCGGTTGACGGTGCTGAAGCTCGAGCAGACGGGTGATCTTGCAAACCTTTCAGGTTTTTCCTCACCCTTATCTGTTCTTGTTCAGCCATAAGGTAGAGCGGTGGGCGAATAACATACCTGACGTGCCTCTGCTCTCGATTCAACACGTCGGACCGCAGAGCATCCACCCCAACTCGACCCGAGCGCCGGAGGATTTGCACATCAACCGCATGCGCGTTCTTATTTTTTCGCACAACAAAAACAAGTCAAGTTCCACAAACGGAGACAGACCGCCGTTTACCACGTATTTACGTCTTCCGAAACGCCTATTCCTGCGTATCCATGTGCACGAATCTACACTTCAAAAATTGACTTCGCCCGACCTTCTCTCTGCAAAAGAAAATAATTTTACGTCACTCCACAAATTGCTTCACGGGCTGATGCTCATGTGAGATGAGGGGGAAAAACCACTGACATAACCGAGCTAAATTTCATACGACGCCGCCATGTTACCATTCAGGAACGACATCTACAAGCCTTCAAAAGCGGGGAAATATCAGCAAAATTGAAATGATCTCCTTCACGAGTAACGTGAAGTACAGTACAGTACAGTAAAAAATAGTGTTGTGCATTGTACTATCTACTATTCTTGTGATTCCTAAAATACATCAACACTGCATTCACGTCTTCTGACGAAAAGGTGATAGAATCTCCTCCAGTTGGTTGAGTATGGTCCGAAAACACAAATCTTAGAACAAAAGAATAATAAGCACTAAACTAATGTACACGAGAAACATGTGACTGCTATCACAGCCCAGATTACAGTATTGTGTGGCGCACCGTTCCTAACATACGTCAGGAACTGATTCAACTGTTTAAAAGGGGGCTCCGACAGAAGTTCGAGAGTTTACAACGTCCGATGAACCAAGAGAAGGAGATGAATAAGCTTCAAACGTACGGTCGTCGGCGATTTTAAATAGCACAGTGCTGTACTGTAAGTAGAAACTGAATTTGTGAAACCCAGAGCATTTTCACTAACACAATAAAATGATTTGTCGACGCTCGAATTATTTCGACAAAAGCTACAATATACACAATTTCGATGGGATGCAAATTCTAATTTTTAGGCGCAACACCTACATTATCCAAAAATGCCAGTTTGGCACATGTGCTTCAAGGAAAAATCATTCCGTTTTAAAATTGAAAGACGAGATTAATGTGCAGTACCCACACATACTTTACAGAGTACGACACAATAATCAAGTGCCAACTGACACCTTGCATAGTTACGAAAATTGGCGACGTCAAGGAATACTACTGTTAAATTTTGAATATTGGAGATGGTCATTGCAACAATGCTTATTCGCCAGTTCGTGTCACGATTCACAGATGTCGCTCTTGCAGCTGGGTCGGACGGGCACAGAATGTGGGATTACAATAGCTTCGCCAATCAATGTCAGTCCACACAAACAAAAATAGGCGAGGACACGAGATCAAACGGATTGAGTCCGACGACAACACATCGCACGTAATCGTGAGGCAATTCACTTTTCATCAGAGCTGGCCGAGCAACATTCCGCGAATCCAAACACGGACACGGGGCTCATCATGTAATTATAGCAGGTTCAAAGGGCATCAGACACCCGACGAAAAGCCCAGTAGTCTCATATATCTTCGTAAATGGATCGGAGGCACCTTCGCTCAATGTACTTACAACGACGACTCTTCCCTTCTCCACCCCAGAGTCACTCACTTGAACACTACAGTACAGACATCCAAATGGAGAACACCAGCACACAACAATAAAGGAGCGAGGCAGTCCCCCCCGACAACACCACCATTGCATACACGTTCTCTCTTCTCGTTCCTTCCTTCGGCAGTGCGTTGCTCACCAAACTTACCCACCATTTCCCTCTCCCCCCCCCCCCCCCCCCCCCCGCCCCCCCCCCCCCCCCCCCCCCCCACCCCCCCCCCTCACCCCGCTTCTCTCCATCTCCTGATTGCTAGTACTGTAGAAGCGAGTCATGCTGCCTCTGCTGCTTCTCCAACACCTTCCTGCGATATGAGACTTCACCGACTGTACCACCTCGATTGCAATCAGACTTGCAATAAAATAAAACGAGCCTCTCTTCCCCCACCCTCGATTTAAAAGCCCCCCCCCCCTTCTCCCCCGGAACTCCCGGGTCGCCACGCCACGTTCAGCGCCACGCTCGGGGAGGGTGTCGTCGGGCTGACCAGCTGTCGTCCATATTGGCACGGACAGATAGAGGCAGGCACGAACAGCTGATAAGGAAGGAAGGCAGCCAGCCATCCATCCATCGGCGCACTCCCTTCATCCAGCCGGGAACAAAGAAAAACACCACCAGGAGGAACACGCCGTCTCCTCTTGCGCGGGTGGCCAGACGAGGCAGTCCTGTACAAGCCAAGCCATGCTATGTTATGCTATATGGTATCGCGTATCAATTGGGTCCATCTCGAGTCACTCACTACACAGTACGTATACTGTACTGCTTAGTACTGTCGTTGCATTCCATAGTGATCGTGACTGGCCTGTCTCTACCTCGAAATTGTTCCAACATCAAAGAAAGAGTGAAGAAGACGCAACTAAAAAAAAAAAAAAAAAAACGAAAGGCATTCTTCTTCGCGGGAAAAAAAAAAAAAAAAAAAAAAAAAAAAACGAAAGGCATCTTCTTCTTCGCGTGGATGCACCCTTCGATGGAGTTACGGCGAGCCCCACGAGGGAGCGCGCTGGCAACCCGAAAACAAAAGAGAGGGAGCGCAGTCGAGGGGAAACATTCGGTCGGCAGACAGGCGGCTGGTCTGAGAGTTCTTATACTCTTCGTGCCTATATAGAAAAGCACTCGCGTCATGGAAGGAACGGAGGGAAGGAGGGATGGATGGATGGTGTGGATTCATGGAGAGACGGGGGGAAGGAACCAAAGGCAGCAAGCAGCAGGTCTCTATCTCGTTCTCTCCGTCCGTCACACATGCACAGGACGATATTGTATTGTACTGTACATCCATTCCTTCCTCCTCTCCCGGCTGCTGAAGGATGCCACCAGGAAGGGAAGGGAACGACGGGAGAGGGGGAAATCTGAACAAACACAGAACGGAACGCATCCCAACACGCGGCGAGGGGGGGGTATGGGAAGGAAGGAAGGAGAAGGGGGGCCAGACACACGCACGCATTTCCAAGGGCATGATGATGCTGTCACGTGACTGTTGTGTCCAACCATTTCAGTTGGTGACTGGGCATTTACCAAGCCGTCGATTCACGCGGCGAGGGGGGGGGTATGGGAAGGAAGGAAGGAGAAGGGGGGCCAGACACACGCACGCATTTCCAAGGGCATGTCCCAGAACACCCCCACCCACAGATGGGGCTCTGCAGCACCACTGGTGTACAGCATGTGGGAAGAGGTAATCCAGAAAAGAAAAAAAAGAAGCTGTTGCTCCGAATTCCACTCCTAATCCCAATGAATTGTTTAAAAAAAAATTGGGCAGAGGAAGATTTCCTTGCGAATGATTCTCACAACCCTCAAGTTGATCAGTACAGTACTCGAAGGGAATCTTCGCTTAGTTTCAGAACTACCCAGAAATTTCGTTTCCTCGCATACGAATACCCATCATGGACCGATGGACGTCTTGTGCATACACAGTACCGTACAGTAACTAATTCCTACAAAAGCACTGGTTTTTAAGAATATTGAATGTTTATCCAAGACCATTTCCGTGCTCTGTGCGTTGATCATACCACACTGGAAACAGGCTGCCTTTTAGACTGTACAGTACTGTACTGTACACAACACATGAAAGAATTCGCCGAAAACTCAAGTAAAGTGTGGAGTTCGACGGAGAAGATCAGAGACGTACGAGCTGATGGAAGAAGTAAAAACAAAAACAAAACAAAAAACTTTACTTTAGTGAACTGTATCTAGGTAACGAGAGGCTTTCAATTGTCTCGTCTGCTGGAGCATGCCTACTTTTACGCGGACCAGAAAATGTTGTACATTCAGTCTTCTGAAAAAAAAAATGCTCAACTCTTCTCACCAACTAGTCACACAACATCAAAATCGAAGAAGACTCTCCCACGTATCAATATTCTTTGTGCTGCAATGCGAGGTACAGTACATTTTTCTCCCAAGGACACAATTTGTCAAGAAGATCCAGATTCTTGTTCAGCCTTACGCAGAATAAAAATAAAAAAAAACACGCAAGCACTTTCAACCATGAAAATCCTGGCCAAATGATATGCACTTGATGTAAATTCAAAGTGCATCTTCGAAAATGATCATAAATGAGCATCAACTGAATGAGAAAGGCTTGAACGGCTTCAAAATTTGTGATAATGCTTCTCTGTTAACGGGGAAAAATGGATAGCTTGAGGTTCGAAAGTCTACAATTCAAAATCAGATTTTTAAAATTAGGTTAGGAGGGGGTCTAGAAAAATGGGGGATTCTGTTTTAATCTCCTACGAAGCTCCATCTGAATTCGGTCTGAACCAACTCGGCTATTTTCAAGTGAATCGACGGCTTGGTAAATGCCCAGTCACCAACTGAAATGGTTGGACACAACAGTCACGTGACAGCATCAGCAAAACACTACTATAGCATACAAGTACGGTACTCGAAAGGATTGGAGCCATTCTTGTAATATTCGAAACAAGTACTGTATTGTACATGTACTCAGGGGTAAGGTTCCATCAGCATTGGAAAAAGCTCAGCCTTCCTCCAGAAAAGCAAGGGCAGTCTTTAATACTATTTTAATTTCTTTCAAGATTTGATGCCAGGAAATAGACCTGCCCGAGTTTTTTTTCACTAATTTTCTCCTCGCGATATGCTCAAGAAGTATTGCACTCTCAGTAAAGTATTCTCAACAAGATGACTGTTGCAATTTCATTCACACGTAATTTGAGGGTGTTCTCACCCCAGCCATCGTGGCTATAACATCCATCAGTGATGCCTCGCCAAATAATGTTTAATTGCTCCCAACAATTTGCATTTGTAGGCAGAACAGTCGTAAGCTGAGACATTTCTACCCTCGAGGAATAAGGTCTTGGGTTCAACACTCGGGATACCCATGAGCAGTACAGTATTCAAGCTTTTCACAATGGGTGAAAGTTTCAAAACTCACATTTTTCTTGAATGTCGTCATTCCAAACGCCAAAGGTTCGAGAACATCAAGCATGTTCGACTCCCTCTCAACTCATGCCCAATAACCTTCCATGTAATCAATCAATCAATCAATCACGGGAGGCGAATTCTTCACACACCCACACACACTCTCACTCCCCACATTCACTCAGGATGCGTGAAGCAGCACAAAAATCGTAGCTGTTGAACCTTTTCGAGGGAAACCCCCTAGATCGGTACGGCGATGTCAATCACCAGCTTCACACGAGTTCTTGGCTATTCCTGCGTCTGCGAACGGAACCGCCAGCACGACACGTATTCGAACTCCCACATTCGTGATCTCGCACAAAAGCCGAGTCTAATGCTACAATTGCATCGATATCCTGGAAGGGAAATAGGATAGAGAGTGTCATTGCAGATCAAGAACTTTCCATTGCACAACCATTCACAGAAAAATACACGAGACAAACACACAGACAGAAATAGAAGGCAGCGAGTAAAAAAAGAAATTCGCTCAAATTTAATCTTCTTCCAAATTTGTCCTCATGACTCAGCCTGTCCACCACACATTCAGGTCGGTCAAAGGCCGACACAGTACTCCGCGTAGTATTCTCCGATCATCATCGGGACTTGCATTGCTGGATGACATGCCCCCCACCCCCTTTCTCTCCGGCCGACGGAAAAAAAAGGAGGTAGGAAAAAGATCAATTTTCGCGAGGATCAACTCGTACGTGTCCTCTCCTCCCCATCAGTCCTCACGTGAGGCCCTTCCATCGAAGCCAGTGCGGAACGAGTGCCACGAGCTCATGAGACGTTCTCGTCTGCTGGCCAATTGCGGCCCGAAATAGGCGTACATTCTGCAATTCCAAAACGAGTGACGAATGAATTGAACGAACGAGTGAATGTCGAGACGACTGACATGCCAAACATGGTTCCGCCCAAATGCGCCGCATGGTCAAACACGGTCCACTTCATGACGGCTCCGCACGTGTCAAACATCAACACGGCCTTAATGGCCTTCCCAATGCAGGCAAGAGGAGTAAAGAAAAAGAATCAAGTTTCTGTCATTCCCCCTTTTTTGTATCCTATCCTTTTTCCATCACCTGGTCTGCTGAAAAAGTCCACTGTGGCAGGAAAATGATGGCTAGCCGCACGTCCGGGTGCATGGTGCACACATAACCAACCACTCCCATGATTGCACCAGACTTTACCAACAGACATCAGGACAAGAATAAAATATATAGTAACGCCAAGGCGGACAGGAAATAGGCACACTCACAGCGCCCAGCGACATGCCGGCGATGCCCGTGAAAATCTTATACATGTGTGACGTCCACGACGACACAACCCCGGCACTAAGGTAGAAGCCGTAGAACTGCTCACGTCCCATCGAACTCACGGCCGCTGACCCGAAAGCAACACGGTGAGTACATGAGTTAGAGGGGGAATAGAATACGGTACTTGAAAATACAAGCCGCGACAAAATTAGTTTAGAAAAGAAAGAAAATGGGTAAGTGTGGGGTGAGGAAAGGAGCGAGAAAAAAAAGGGGGCTTTCCGAAGAAACGCGACTTACAGTTGGAAAAACTCCGCAACACGTACATGTTGACAAAGAGGTGCAGGAAGGAGTAGTGGCTGAAGGCAGACAAGAGCATGGGCACCACGGACGGCGAAGAGGGACTCGCAGTGAAGTAGCGGAGCATGACGGGCCTCAGGGACGGCACCCGCCACGCGCACCAAACCAGCACGTTGGCCACGCAGATCGGCACGAAGGCCTTCTCGCCGGGACTCAGCCGGCTCCACAGCGCGTTCATACGCCGTCGCAACTCGCCCGCCTTGGGACGTTGCAACTCATAACGACCTTGTTCTCTGCGCAAAAGAGGATGCAGAGCAGGGCGGGTTGTCGGGACAAGAGAGAGAGAGAAAGTAAAAAAAAAAAAAAAAAACACACGAGGCAGCAATCGGTCGTATCATCATTCGTTCATTGGTGAAAGAAGTGGCAGCAGTTGGTATTCACCTGCTTGCTGTCATTGCTCTTTTCCTCCTGCTGGCCTCGTACTGCCAGATGACCGAGCCGACAAAGCAAGAGACGCACATGGAACCTGCGAACACCGTCGCTCTCCACACCGTGTCCGGCGACACGGGTCCACCCGGCTCCACCATGTCGAGCGGTGACAGGGACGACTGCTTCCTGCCATTCCCACCGCTCTCCAACCGCAGCTTCCTGAAACCTTACACGCGTCCCCCATTCCACAACAGTAAAAATCAACAGGAAAACACGGGGCAACAACTCTCAAGTTTTATTTTTTCTCTCTCTATCCGTCGTCTGCGGCAATTTCCATAAATACGGGCCGAATAAAAAAAAAAAAAAAACGGATTTAGAGGGCGAAGGTCTAGTCCAAAAGAAACCGGAGTTTTTCTCAAGAGATCCTGTCGAGTGGGCCCTCACCTCGGACACTCCAACTGTCGATTCTCGACACCTGCTGCTGACTACCAAGCGTAGGTTGCCGATTCACGCGCAGCATCATTCCCCAAGCGCACCTCGAGAGAATGCCCATTTCGGCTCCTCTCTTGTCCCTATCGCTACAGCTAGCTAGCTCGCTCTCTGTCTGTCTGTCCCTCCCCCCGCTTCCGATTTCGCAGATGCGCCTGAAACAAGTCAAAGTCATGCAACGAATGTTAGTTGCTGTGCGGCAAGGTTTCCCCAAAGGAGTACAATAAATAAACACTCTTTCGCAAGCGTTCACTCAGAAAAGCCTGGGTTTCTTTCAATTTTTTTTCTCTCCTTCAGATTCGCGGAAAACAAAAGCAAAAAAAAAGGAATGTATTACAATCTACGCCAAACACGAATCCGCCAAGCAATACATTATTTGAGAAGAGCGCGAAAGCGACACGTCAAGAGAGCCAAGAGAAAAAGGATAAAAAATAAATGAAACGGGACGAGAAATCGAAAAGTGCCCCCCAGCGAAACACAGCGCTTCTAGTTCATCTCGTCGCCTTCTTCAGCCTCTTCTTCGAACTCTTCTTCGTCGTCGGCAGTTGCCTCCTGGTACTGCTGGTACTCGGACACCAAGTCATTCATGTTGGACTCTGCCTCAGTGAATTCCATTTCATCCATACCCTCGCCAGTGTACCTTAGAAGAAAGAAGCAAATATCCAATAATGAAATGAAAAATCCTTTTTTTTTCGCAAAAGCAAAGTATCGTTTTCAGAGCTCAACAAACCACACTAGACCACTCACCAATGAAGAAAGGCCTTGCGGCGGAACATGGCCGTGAATTGTTCGGAAATGCGCTTAAACAACTCCTGGATGGCAGTCGAGTTGCCAATGAAGGTGGCAGACATCTTGAGGCCCCTGGGCGGGATATCGCACACGGCCGTCTTGACGTTGTTCGGGATCCACTCGACGAAGTAGGAGCTGTTCTTGTTCTGGATGTTGAGCATTTGCTCGTCCACTTCCTTCATGGACATCCGGCCGCGGAAAATGGCGGCGACGGTGAGGTAGCGGCCGTGACGCGGGTCACACGCTGCCATCATGTTCTTCGCGTCGAACATCTGCTGCGTCAATTCGGGCACCGTTAGCGCCCGATATTGCTGACTTCCACGGGCCGTGAGCGGGGCGAATCCGGGCATGAAGAAGTGAAGTCGCGGGAAAGGCACCATGTTGACGGCCAGCTTCCGCAAGTCGGCATTCAACTGGCCCGGGAATCGGAGACACGTCGTCACGCCGCTCATGGTCAACGACACCAGGTGATTCAGGTCTCCATAGGTCGGAGTGGACAGTTTCAGTGTCCGAAAGCAGATATCGTACAGGGCCTCGTTGTCGATGCAATACGTCTCGTCCGTGTTCTCCACCAGCTGGTGCACAGACAGAGTCGCATTGTATGGCTCCACGACAGTGTCAGACACCTGGGGGCAGAAGAAGAGGCACACACACACACACATACATAAATAAATATCTTGTAAATCATGCACGCAACAGTTCATGAATCGTCCTTCTTTACCTTTGGCGAGGGCACGACCGAATACGTGTTCATGATGCGGTCTGGGTACTCCTCGCGAACCTTGGAGATGAGCAAGGTGCCCATGCCAGAGCCGGTGCCGCCACCCAGGGAGTGAGTCAACTGGAAGCCCTGCAGGCAGTCACAACCCTCCGCTTCCTTCCGGATCACGTCCAGCACAGAGTCGACCAGCTCGGCCCCTTCCGTGTAATGGCCCTTGGCCCAGTTGTTGCCTGCCCCCGACTGACCAAAAACGAAGTTGTCCGGTCGGAAGATCTGGCCAAACGGACCGGATCGAACGCTGTCCATTGTGCCTGGCTCGAGATCGACGAGAACTGCACGAGGGACGTACTTGCCTCCGCCAGCTTCATTGTAATAGACAGAGATGCGCTCGAGTTGCAGGTCAGAATCGCCCTGGTAATTGCCGGTGGGGTCGATTCCGTGCTCATCGCTGATGATTTCCCAAAACTGAAAAAAAAAAATAAATAAGGCGACAAAAAAAAAGGGTTAGTCATACTGGACCGTACTCGACAAGAGACAATCACCAGTCAAATGATGCCTTCAATCCTCACCTTGGAGCCGATCTGGTTGCCGCACTGGCCGGTCTGAATGTGTACGATTTCACGCATATTGGCAGAAATGTAAAATAAGTAGGACAAACTGCAAAAGTCTTTTCGATTACGAAATTCCCTGCAACAGGCGACCAAAAAAACGCGTTCACAATCATTGGTTCACCACTGACGATCACGCAACACGACTCAATTAGAGAAAACCCCCAACCCACGACAAAAATGCATTCAATCTCACCTCGGAAATTAATCACAAGCAAAGCATCACAATGGGACATTCAATGCAATAAAAAAATATCAACCCGTTCATACTTTTCATCAAGTAGTCAGAGATGCAATTACTGAAAATGACTCTTGATTGAGCCCGGTTGTTCAGCCGCGGGAGAATGTTACGTTAACCTCCCCAACAATCCAATGAACAGACTCAACGTAAAGCGAAGAGACTGCGGCGAAAAAAAAAAGATCCTTGGCGAGTAGTACGTAATTCTATCTTCCGCCAGTATGCATAAGATGGCGGATGCCTTCTTCTCTCCCCACAAAATTGTCAATTCCGAGAACCTCACAGCAAAGATGGCTTTGTGCGCACATCGGTTATCGAAAAAAAAAAAAATTACCCCAAGACTAACAGCCTTGAGTCGGGGAACCGGACGCGGCTATTCAGAGGGTGGGAAAACGTGAGTGTCTTCAGCTGTGCGTGTATGTGTTCGTGTGTATACTGCACACAGTTCCCCTCGAATGGCATACAACAGTACAGTACAGTACTAAAAAAAAGCTCGCGATGTCAATCACAGTTCGAGGGATACACGGTGTAATGGACGATGCCGCAGGATCCTTTTTTCCGAATCCAACGGAAATGGAGCAACGACAACAAAAATATACATGTATACTGCATATGAAAGTGAAAATCTCTTCCGGAGTTACGCCTATTCAACGGTCTGCTTCCTCGCGAGAATGCCGAGAATTGTCTTGGAAGCCTGCGGAAAAAATGTAATTAAATACGGAAGAAGGGAGCGAGGGACGGAGTCAAGAGGTTCGACTATGGTGAGGCGAGGAAAAAGTGACAGAATGAATCAACCCACCCGACGAAGCATGCCAGATGCCGCATCCGTGCCACGAAGGACAGCAAGAGTGCGCAATTTTTCCTCAATTTCCGGGTTGTCGTAAATGCCCTCGTCGCCATCTCGTAGCATCATCATGAGCAAACAGACGGCGTGGATCAAAGCCTCTCCGCTACCCTTGTCCCGTCTCAGTGAGGCAGCTTCTATTTCAGCCTCGTTCGCCACCAAGCTGTTCACCATGGCAAACAGGTTTTCTGCAGCATGAACACACACACTTTTGAACTCCCACGCCATGACGATCAATTCAAAGTGTTTTTGTATTTTTATACCTTTTGTGGAGTCAAAGACGCGGGAAATGTCTAGTCGAAGTTGGAGTTGGTAATGAGGGTCGTCGCACGTACCCATCATCCAGAGCTGGCCCAGGATGGACAGCATCGAGGACAGTCCGCGCTCTGGGAACGAATCCCACTTGCAGCACTGGCCCCAGCAATCGAACACATCCAGGGCCGACCCGCACAAATGACGCCAAACGAGCAGCAACTGACTGACACTGGACAGCGTTGACGAACTTTCCGTGTGAAGCTCGACTTCCTCGTCATCCGCAAACAGTAAAGTGGACAAGAGCTCGAACAGGACCACGACGGCCGCTACGTCCTCACTGCTCGGAGCGCCGCCAGCAGCGCGACAAATCCTCGAGATGCCCGACAACAAATTCCCCACTGTTCCCGCTTCCAACAGTTTCTTCGTCACATTGACATTGTTTTCCTCAACTGCAGACAAGTTACAATTTACTTCTCAAAGAGTTGGCTTTGGGTATTTCGAGAATTTTCCTCAACAACAAATTCGACAGGCAATACATCGGGAGGATGCAAGTAGAAAAACAAAATCACCCTCGACTCACACGTTGACAAACGACGGTGCAGGATGGCACAGAGTACCCTGGCAATGCCCAGGATGACGACCGAGTCGACTCTTGCCGATCTCAGCGGCACGAGCAGCGACGTAACGGTCGCCACATCCACCCGCCATCGCAGCGGTTCGGCGGCGAGCTCTGCAACAGCGCCGCGGACAAATCGCTCCCACTCGGCCCTCTGCACCGCAGCAGGTGTCTCGTCAAACGGAAACGGCAGTCGTTGTCTTGTGCTTCGACTCGGCGACACGGCAAGCCGCCCATCATCCCCACCGCACACTGTTCCTTCCTCATCGTCGTCGTCGTCTTCCCCGTCGTCGTTGTGGCTTTCTACTCCTCTTCTTTGTGCAGCCGCGTCGTCTGAGCAAAAATTGTAATCCCTCAAAACAATCTCAGCATATGGCAAACGCAACACACACACGTCTACATACCAACACCAGTTTCCCCCCTTTCATCTTCCGCTTCCTTTCCTTCAACGAGACCTGCAAACTGTCTGATGGCGTCTTCAAATGGCACGATGTCGGTGATGAGACTCTCCCGGCGTCTCGCTCTCGTCCTGATTGCTACATCCTCCACATCGTCAGCCTCCACGTGGCCCTGCTCCACCCGCGCCTCTTCGGGTCGCTGACGGTGGTCGGGCTCAGACTGCCGCGCGGGACATACACGGTGCCGACGGGCCGCCTCCATCACCAACAAGGCTTCATTCATCTTTCGCTGCTTCTCCACCTCCAGATGGTGCACAGTGCGGACCAGCAACAATCTGAACACGAGAAAAATAAAACAATTTTTTATGTACTGCACAATTGTGCAGTATTCACAAACGCAACGCGGGAAAGGCGAAAGCATTCTCACTACACACTCACTGGCCTTCAGTTCCGCCGACTCTCGCCGCTTTCGCTTCCAGGTCTTGGCGCTGCTCCTCCCGCCGGCGCTCCTGCGACACCGACAAGGCATCAGTGAGTGGAGGGGCCAGGCGTCCGGCCGAGCCTTCCGGCACGTGCAGGTCCAGCTTGTCGCGGATGAAGTCGTGCTCTAGGATGGCGGGCCACGTGAGTCGCTTCCGTGGGTCCTTTTGCAGCAATCCATTGAGGAAGGACTCGCATTCGGGATACAGTGCGTCCGATGCCGGGAACCGCACGGGCTCCGTCCGCACCTTTTTCACGAGGTCTACTATGCTTGTAGTGTTGAAGAGAGGACTGCCCGTCACCAATTCGTACAGTATGCAGCCCAGAGACCTTGACAACAGAGGCAATTGCTCATTTGACCGACTCTTGGTTCCACCGAGACCGAGGAGACACCCAGGTGCATGTGGATAACGGTAGACTCACCACAGATCGGCGGCGTGGTCGTACGGCTTCTCCTCGATAATCTCGGGGGCCATATATAACGGAGTGCCCTTGATGGACGTGAGCAGATACGTGTCCCTGTTCATGACACGCGCGAAGCCAAAGTCACACAGCTTCACGCGTCCATCTGACCCAAGCAGGATGTTCTGCGGCTTGATGTCCCTGTATCAAAATAACCGTGTTGATCAACTGAGCACCCCATAAGGCCAAGCACAAAAACCTGTGCAAGATGCGCTGCGAGTGGAGGTAATACAGCGCTGACAACAGGTCGCAAGTCACCTGCAGCATGTTCTCCCGCGACAACTGGCTGCCGGTGCCGATCGTGGCAAACAGCTCCCCTGCCGCCAACTCCATCACGACAACTACCTGAACGAGTAATAAAAAATAAAAAAACGACATATTTAAAGCGGAAGTCCATCTTCGTCCCGCTGTACTGTACTTGCCTCCGAATTCGTCTCAAAACAGGCTGTGACAGAGATGATGTTGGGGTGCCGCAGACCTTGCAGGATGCAGCACTCGCTTCGCAGACTCTCCAGCTCTTTCTCGCTCCGACCCGCCTGGCCCCGTGAGGGAAGAGAGACGTTGAGGCACTACATTGGTCGGAGAGGAAATGGAAACCACTTGCCTTCCGGATCAGCTTGAGGGCAACGTTGGTGTGCGTCTCACGATTCCTGGCCTTGAACACGCGCCCAAACGACCCCTCGCCGACCACTTCCAGCACCTTGTACACTTGCATCATTCACTCTTTACCCTACGGAAGAACAGAAGACGGGATAACACAGGGTGCGCAAGGCGTGACACTCACTCACCCACTGCTTGTCTGCTCGTCTCAGGACAGCCCATCCAGTAACACGACATGAATGAACAAAACAAGGCTCAAGAACGAGCAGGGAAAGCGAAATCATAATGCAGTGTAAAAAACAAAAAAAAAAAAAAAAAAATCACGTCGTCGAACGGACTTTGGACACGTGAACAATGTCAACCAGCGTCTCGCGACATGGCCGCAGGTCCAAATCAAACGCCCCTAGACTCAATTTGGAAGAGGGCGGCTTGAAGTAGTCGAGGCCGCGGCCAATTTTGATGAGCCACCCGCTGTTGAGTTGGATTTCGCGGTCATGGAGCGTATCCGAGAATACGTAGTCGAATGTGACGCCGTGGCGTTCTCGCAGATCGGCCTGCAGTGTTGCGAGCCACACGTCCTGCTGTGTCTTGCCTGTCTCATCATCGGGCATCCGTGGTGATTTTGGACAGCGCGTCGTCAGCAGACACACAGTCTGCAGAGACCGACCGCAGCGACGCACGGCCAACTCACAGAGCCTCACAAGGTTCTGCACCTGGTGCAGCGCGCGTATGTAGGGGTCCAACACGCGGATGGTCGTCGTGGCAGAATCCAGGAAGCGGCCAAAGACTGACTCGTAGCTGTGGCCCACGGACCCGTCCTCAATTCGCCGCTGCTCCTGGTACTCGCCCCGCCGCTTGGCCCGCTCCACCTGCTCACGCAGTTGCTCGGCCCTAGTTACGTACTGCTCCGCCTTCTGACGCAGCCGCAGTCGCTTCGTCTCATCCCGCTCATCTACTCCACTAATTTGATTCAAGACTCGACTCCAGACCAGATACACAAAGAGGAGTTCAGTACCTTTCACGGCGTCCAACAGCATCTGAGCTCCTTCCTGATAGCACACTTGGGCCTCCGTCCAGCGAGCCCGCCCGTCGTACTCTACGGCCCGCTTCAGCGTTGCAGCTGCTGCGTCCATCTCAATACGCGCGATGATGAAGACCACACCTCAGTACCACCTATCATGGCACATCATCCAGAAAATCTAATCAAAGATGAGCAACAAAGCGCAATCCATAGCCACAAAAACTGATTCCGTTCCCGCATTCCTCGGCCACTTTCCAATGAATAATAATTAGTCGAACGATTTTGAAGATTCAAAGGACGTTTCATGATCGAGTAAAACGATCATCGCTGTCTCGATGACTCCATCGAGACAGCCTAGACACAAATTCAAAAGCAAAACTCCCTTCCGGAACAGCACGAATATAAATCTAAAGTCTTGCTTAGAGAGTTTCATCTCAAGACGCTATCACCCGATCCAATGCTCGGCGTATATTCACTTGATGATCTTGGTACGGTACAGTAAAAATTGCACGTATCCATACACAGACGGCTCCTGAAAATTTTTCCTCGAATCGACGCCGATTCAGTCACACTCGTGATATGAATTTCACATATTCCCTCACCTAAGCAACGTGATTCGTGGAAGACTGTACCAGCTCCATTTCAAGTGGCAATGTTTTCTCCTCGAATATGACGACTTCACTCAAGAAACACGCGAAAGGAAATTCAAGGTTCCCCGCATCGTCGGGCACAACTTCCAAACAAGCACGCGAACCCACCCTAGGATTGATCCACGTCGCGCCAGAACTGTGAGCAGCGAGTGAATTATCGAGTGCTCATCAATTCCACAATTTAGACCTCGCGCGAGGATGCTCGATTGGTCTTCGGAAGGGAAGGGGGAGAGGGGAGTCAGGAGCCACAAGTACAGCAGGGGTTGAGCGACAGTGATTCCCGGACGGCGCTAGCGCGTTTCGGGACGCGTGATGTAGGTGTCGCTACAAAGAGCGTAGAATATTCTCGGGCACTCGCTAGACCAAGTTCGCGGCCTGTATCTGTAGCAGGGAGTTCCTCAACCTTGGAGGAAGGGATTCTGACTCCTCCCATCACAAAAAAAAACAAAGAATTTCATAATAAAACCAGTCCATTCCCATGAATGCAGGAAGCCTAAAGCTGAATGGGACAGGAGCATAAGACAGAAATGCAAGACGGAGAATGCCAACTACAGTACTTGATCACCGGAGTGACATGGCTGCTATCAAGACCAGCAATTACTCAAGGGCTATCAAATAAAGTTAGTTCAATGGAGGATTACACAGAGCAACACCGCACAACAAGTAAATCGAGCGCACAGTGCAGCTGGGCGATTGACTTCTTTTTTAATGCACCCATCAGTTTTGGTTTTGTTGCACAGCAGCTAGTTCATCATGTTGGGCAACAGCACATCATTTTTTCTGCAGGCAGTTGATATTTCCATACAGCAACAAGAACAGCTTTAAACGTTGCGCATTTGAAAGCTTCTCAGGGGAAAAATGGAATCACGTCGAATTTTTTCTCTCGAAAACCACTTTCTGTTTGCCCAAAATTCTTGGGTTTCAACATTTTTGACTTTCAATTCAAATCAATAGAAAAATATGGGTGAACTTTCGACATTGTTCTGAAATTTTTTTGTTTCAAAAAGTCAGGAGCTCAAACTTCACATGATAACTTCCATTTCACGATTAACATATCTTTAATCTAAAAATTTATGATGTACCGTAATGAGAATTTGTTAAGATACCAAAACTTGAGGGATCAATTACTACTTTTTATCAGGAAATTTTTGGGAACAGATAATAATTTTTCAAATTATAACTCAGGAGAATTCATGCTTTGAAAGAAGAAGCGCATCAGGGGATAATGGATTATTTCTGTTACACAGAGATCCACAATACAGTACATCATTTTGAACTTGGAGTAAAAGGTACAAACTACTGTATATGCCTTATGCTGACACTATACACAGCACAGGTCAGAAAGGAATCGCCAGGGCATCATTTCAATCAAAGCCAGCTTGAGAACATCAAGAAATCCCCAGACACGTCTGAAGAAAAGCTCAACTGTGTGAAGGCGACGCGTTTTCCTTATCGCAATAAAACGGACCCCAAAGCTGCTCAACTTCATTGTACCTTGGTATAGTGCACTTCATGCTGTGCTAGCTCTAGGTTGGCACAAAGGAAGGCAAGAGGTGCTGCCGTGCAAACACAAAACCCTGCAAGTACGTCACTGTACGCATCTATTCACGGCCATTTTGTGCACAGTACTGTATATGAAGGAAAATGGCAGCTGACCAGGACAAATTTAAAAAATACAAGAGACAGCTTCGCAACTTACATCATCACTCCGACCGAGTGACGAAAGACAGAACAGGGAGGGAAGGAAGGAAGGAAGGAAGAGAAATTTACGACAGAATTCACTGGAACTAAGACAAGGGCAACACAAACATCAACAATTTTGATATTCTGCACCTTTTGATGGTGCGGTGAGTAACTAACTGCAAGGCTAGCAAACAAATACTGCACGGAACATCTACAGCATCTCATCTGGGATAATGTTAGTCCTGCACTATATTTAAAACAACGAAGCAGTGGAAAATTAAAAGAAGAGACTCTTAGAAACAGCATAAATGGATAAACTCAAGGTCATAGACACGACTTATTGAGTGCATGTGTGTGTGTTCACACACTAAATGGAATATTCTTGATTCCCCATCTCCGCCATCACAGTGTCCCAGCTGTCACTCAAATGGAGGGAGAGAGGGAGAGAGAGAGAGAGAGAGAGAGAGAGAGAGAGAGAGAGAGAGAGAGAGAGAGGGGGGGGGGGGGAAGGATGAGGAAGAAGAAGAAGAAGAAGAGGAGGAGGAAGAAGAAGAAGATGATGGTGGTAAAGCACGAGTGGGAGTTGAGGGAGCGGAGGAGAGGGTTATTTGTTTCATCATTTTGTAAGTTTTTGCTCCATATGCAACGGGTCAACAGTTTTATGTGTCCATGTAGCCAGCATCACACAATGGATGGACTTTCCCTTTCACTCCTCAAATTCTACCCCTGACCTCTTTATTGCCACTGCTGCTGAGCTCAGGCGAGAGTCCCTGCATGTAAGCTTGGCAGCAAACCAAATCGCACCTGACCCTTCCCGTATATATATATATTGAGTACCACCTTCTTCATCTTGCCAAGCAACAAGATGGCAATGGCAATTCACTTAGTCCTTCACCCACACCTGCACGGGAACATGATTCTATGCCCTGACCTCTTGTAACCATCATAGCGAGAGAGAAAACGGAGTTCCACAAGCAGAAAGATGAAATGATAAGAAGCTCACCAGCATTTGAGGGCTGCCTGTAGTCAACTTGGCTGGCAATGAATGTCCTCGTCACTGTCTCATCTGCCTCTGTCCATTTCTCACGTTGTCCAACGGGCTCAATGATGCTGCTGATTCCACTGGTTGATTCATTCGCGAAATCGTGCTCGCACAATAATCAACCTTCGACCGTATGAACGGGAATATCCAAAGCAATTTACATTACATTAGGGCGATCACTCCAAAAAAAGTTGCCAACTCTGGTCCAAATTTTTTGAACCTGAAGAAAATGGGTAAATGCTTCAGCCTTGCAGAACCTTTTTCAGCGCCAATGCAAATATTGCATGGCGAAGAGGGGAATGGGGGACTCACTTTCTCTCAATGCCGAGACGGCAAGCACAGCACACACCCGCCCATTGCCGCTAAAAACCATGCAAAATGACAACAGCTGTTGCATACTGTTGAGGGGAGGGCTTTCATTTCAGGAAGATCACTCGACATGAACAAGATAACAACATTTGACGTGAATGGATGGAAACATCAAGACGGATAATGTTATGATAATAAAAAAAAAGGAAGGGGGGGGGGGGGAATAAAGTTGGGTATGAACAAATTCAAAATACAAAATTTGGAAGCTAGCACACATGCACTTGATATGAACGTTCTTAAAAGGTTTTGGCCTCAACCAAAACTCCCATGGCCGACCGAACTCGGGTCTTGAACAGTCCGCCCAATGCCTTCTGAGTGGCATTGGACGCATGGGCACTTGGCAATGACAGAACTGCACCAGAACCTGAAAGTGGCGCGGTGGCACTTGTCCACGCCTTTTCCAGCCTTGAAAATGAGCCACCACGAGTGTAATCCTTGTTGACCAACTGCTGATGCATCTGTGTGCAGACAGACAGACACACACACACACACATATGCAAAACATGATCAAGAGTCATTCCTAAAATTGAATAAGGGATGGATGCTGCCTCACCGGCATTGACTTGCCCACTGGCACTGTCATCAACGAAAAGCGACGCACAAGCATTGACATGATGCGCAACTCGTAATCTCTTTGGTTGTCCTGGTTGTGCCGGGTCGAGTACAGGTAGCTCCAACGCCGCGGCTTCTCCATCATTCTGCAATTCATCAGTGCTTCATTACACGCACATGCAATCAACCAAGCATAAGCTTTGCATGGCATAGCACTGCAGCCACCTGTACTACAAAACTCACTCACTTGAAACACGCTGCACCGCTATTGGGTGCCAGCCATTGGGCCAGTTGCTGGTGCAGCGTAGCAGTCCTATTTCTCTGGTGAATGACGATGCTCGTTGGCCGACTACTCGGTACTCGACTTCTGAACCCGGTCGCAGTCATCTGCCGTCCCCGCTTGCTACTGCCGCCTCCCACGTCCGCCATCTGTCGTCCAACACATGGACGGTGGTCAGATTTCCAACACACTGGAATCAACAGAGCACATACTGAACGGTCGGTACACAGTACCTGTCTGTTGACTCTGCTGCTGCTGTTGTTGGGATCCCTCTGACCACCAGTGTTTGTCCGCAGTCGTCGGTTTCGTCGCAATGCGCCAACGCCGCCGCCGCTGCTGCTGCCGCCACGAACTGACGCTGCAGTGTCCAACGCATTCTGTCTCCTCTTCCTCTCCTCTTTCCCAGCTCTCCGCGTCATGGACACAGTTCCCACCCTGTCCAACTCGCGCACTTCTCCTCGTTTTCCTCCATCACTTGCACCATGTTCCTCTTCCTCGTCGTCTTGCCCACTCTCCTCCTCCTCATCGTCGTCGTTGTCCTCTTCACCAAGCATGTCATCATCACTCTCCTCCGCTCCCTCAACTCCCACTCGTGCTTTACCACCATCATCTTCTTCTTCTTCCTCCTCCTCTTCTTCTTCTTCTTCTTCCTCATCCTCGTCATCTTCTGCCAGGTCTGAATCGTCTTCAGTCGAAGACTGTCTCAGACTCGACTGTACCAGGAAAACAATAAATGATGAAGAAAAAGCAATTGCGTCAAATATTGATTAATGAAAAAAAAAAAACACAAGACAAGAATAAACGACAGTACAAATGGGCAAAAACCTCATTTCCTTCCTTACATCCATGCATCCAATACGCGCAGTACCTCTACAGGATACAGTACCTCTACAGGATACAGTACCATGAACAGGGGTAAAAAGCATAAAAACAATGGCACTCTCCTACTGTCTTCCATCAGCTACAGTACTGAACATACAATGTAATGAACTTTCCCACGCTTTTGTATCTGTTTTACTCGATAAAATCTCTCGCGCTTACGAAGAAATGCGACTTTACGTATAAAAAGAAAAGAAAAAAACTTGAGACTGATATTCAAACAATTATAAAAAAAATAATAATACAGTACAGTTCTGTATTTAAAAAAAAGGTTTCTGCTCTATAGAAACACCAACACGTGTATTAAAAGCCATCACCTGGTCTTGGAGAACGCACAAGTTGCCCTCCTGATCCCCGGCAGTTTCTGCATCACAGCCATCTGTCGTCGCTGGCAAACCAACCTTGACCAAGTTGACCATCACACTGTTCTCATCACAAAACGGATGCTGGTTGATGACGGTGTCGAGCCAGTGTGTCGAGTCACGACTGGCGTCTTCTGGTCTCCGGATGTTTCCAGTCGTCAAATGACCCTCGGCCCCGTCTCCCCTCTGTGACAGCGAAGTTGCCCCCCAACAAATAAGCTCTCGATTCGACATGACCTCGTCGTAGGCCAGCAGCACAGCGTCTTGCTTTGTGCGGTCACTATAGACAAGTTGCACTGAATGGTCCGTGCGGTGACAGCCACTTGTTTGAGAGCTCTCAGAAAAATAAATAAATAAAAAAAAAATAAATAAAATAAAATAAAATACAGATTTGTAAAAATGTGCACATATATTTTTTATACATTTTTACACGAGAATAACAGCAGTAATACAGCACAAGACACGCCATAGAAACACAAACGAGGGATTAATGCGGGCAACTCACCACAGATGATGCTGACGGCAAGGGGTCGAAACGCCACGCTCTTGTCTCACAACACGGGAATCGACCAACAGGCTGTTTCGACGTCTGGTTCTGCTCAACCCAGTGGTACTCGGGTAGATCCGGATGGAACCAACAGCGACCCAAGTCCCGCGCTGGGAACGTGGCCCCGCACCGGGTACAGCGGAAGAAGTGCACGAGGCCCCAGAGGTGCCAGTAAATCCGCCTCCAACTCAGCCCAAGTCCACCCACACGCAATGACCGGATATACTGACTCAAGCTCCATTTCGCGTCTCTGTCAACATAAATCCGCACGTGTCAGTCTTTCAGCGACTAAAATCCACATGAACACGCAGGAAAAATAACGAGGCAATTCGAAATAAAAAAAAAAAAATGAAAATTCAGCGATCACGTACCTTGTGTGGTGGTAGACAACAGTGCCACGCCGTGTGAACGCGTACTTGCCCACCACGCATTCCACGCTCTGCTTGACGGGCTCCGTCATCAACTTGCCACACTCGGCGCATCTATCAAGCGTGAGTCCCATCATGAAAGACACATGACAATACTGTACAAAACTGATGATACTGTACTGTATCAGCCACGAGACACAAGCACTTACCGAAACAAAGAGCAGGCGGATGCAAAATGGCCCACGGCGGCCGACTCTTCTCCCCTCAACGGTGCTGCCAGCAACAGGATGAGCTGACAAAACAGCTTCGTCTTGATACGATCTTTCGGGTCGTCCAGAGCATCTAGTTCCGACTCGTGCACCAATTTCCCCAGCCTTAGGAGCCGACATATAGAGTGAAATGACACATAGGCAGGCAAGCAAAGGAAAAATAAGACAGACCATCACCCACCCTTCCCTTGATGAGGAGGATGGTCTTTCTCACCTCGTAAGCAGGGCGTCGCCGAGAATGCTGAAACTTGGTGTGTGCGGGATCACATGCTTCAGGTTGTCCTTCAAGTAGACCAGCCCGTAGTCCACGAGCTGGTCCATTTGCAGAAATTCCGCGGAAATTAGGACGGGCACCACAATTTTGACATCTGTCGACATACATCAACCCTTTCATCAACGCAGCCGTGTCAATGTGTCATAACACGAACCACCTCTCACTCACTCAAATCGTGCGGCTTGTTGCCGTCCAGCGAGCTCGAAGCGATCCAATTCATGAGCCAGTCGAAGACAGTCAGGTCGCAATGAACAGTGATATCAACATCCTCGAGTTTCTGGTCTGCTCGATAGCGAGCGAGCACGTGAAGAAAGGAGAGAGTCGAGTCAGTCAGCGCAGAACTGTCCGGGACTGAGTCAAGGCAATAACGCGCCATGAGACAAGACGCAATCTTCCGTCGTGTACAGTACAGTACTCTCATTTTGAGCGTGCGGCTAGACTAGTCTTCTACGTGCAGTGCACCCTTAATTCTCAGCAACAACAACATTGTCAAGATACAGACTCGAAGAGAGGTTTGAGAAGTAGCCCATGTGCCGGAGCAGCGAAGACACAGGAATCTTGTACTGCTTCGTTGCCTGCTTCGCGTCGTCCACCACATTGAGTACAATGTCCTGCCTGCGCAGAGACACGTTCTCCTTTATTGTTGGGTGGATGGGAGAAGAGAATGCTCGCTCACCTGGACACGGTGGATGCGGCGGGGGCGTGGATGGGCAGAGCGTGTGCCGTCGTGGGTCTCAATCGTCTGCTCGGCTCCCCATTGCTAGCCGTGGCTGAGGATCGATTCGCTTTCCTGCTACTTCGCTCGGGCAGGGCCTTGTTGGGACTCACAGCCGCACACGAGTCCAGGAGATTCTGGTGGGCCGCATAGGACACCAAGCCATCCAGTAGACCCTCGCTGCTCAGCAGACGCAACTGGGCGAAGCAGTCGTCCAGAGACAACGCGGCGCCCGACTCCTTCAGCTCATCCCAGTCGGCGTCGGCGGGGCTCGAGTGCACTTGCAGGCACCTGTGCAGGAATCGCAGGAACCTGCCATCCACCGTCGGTCGCACCAACTCTCCGCCACCGACTGCCCTCGCCACATCGGCATCTTCGTCATCGTCGTCCTGTTCTCCTCTGCCGTCGGCCTCCGCTACTCGACTCGGGTCTTGCTTGTGACCTTGAGCCTCGTCGCACTCCGCCTCTCTCCCCGTCTTTTCCTCTTGTTCTTTCTTATCCTCCTCCTCCTCATTCTCCATTATTATCACAAAGCACTCATAACATATCGCAGTGACATGCGTTGTAACCGTCTATAAAAATAATCATAATATTTACAAGCATTCCAAAACAATACGAGAAGAAGCAAGAATAAAACTTTCCACCAGAGTAACAAGAGCCAACGATCACACAGGCATTACACATCGTTTGACGCGCATGCCCAATAGCACGGTCTCTTTCATTTCGTATCAGAACGAAGAAAAAGAAGAAAAAAGCAATGCCACGAAACGAAGCAGCCAATCACCGACTTTCAGCGTCGAGGTTGAGGAGGATCCTGGAAACAGCGGCAAAGAAGGCGGCGCAACGAGCTCTCTCCTCTTCCTCAGTTAGGAAGACGGCGAGCTTTTGATCGAATTTGTCGGGATGCCAGAGGCGCAACTGGTCCCGGACATACCGCCTCTTCTCCGTCGCTTCGTCCGAATCGACACCGACACGGAATGAGAATCGCAGCGCAGCCTCCAACGCCGGCAAACCCGCGTCCACGCCTCCAAACGCATCCAGTAACGACAACAGGCCCGTCCTGTGACTTTGGTCGACTGCATCCCCATCTGTCCTGCTCCTCTCGCACTCCAACATGACTTTCAGCCGCTCACACGTTCTTCGGAATTCATTGTACGTCTCAACGTGCACCTCTTCCACACAGGTTTCCGAACGACTAGGACCGTCAAGAATCGGCAGCGGTGACGGGGCTCGAGTCTTTTGCTTCTGCTTCTTCTCTTCATTTTCCATTTTCTCTTCTGCCTTTCGGTTGAAAGATGCGTGCTTGGCACGTCGCTCCTCTCTCATTCGATCAGCCCACTTGGAGAGAGTTTCCGGCTCAACATCGGCGAAGTCGGAAAAATACCTCTCTGCATAGGGAGCAAAATTGCGTGAGCAAATTTTCCAATTTTATGCAGCGGAGGATGATCAAATCTGAATTGTATCACGAAGGCCTCCCACTCTTACTCACCGAAATCCTGGCCGTCATGGTCGTCGGGTTCCCATAGGGATGCGTCCACCTCCTCGGGACAACGGCGAATGATGAAGGAATCGAGCAAGTCGACGGGCGACTCCGAGGCGGCATTCCGGACATGGGCCACGTCCACGAATGCATCCATTAAATGCCGCGCCAGTTCGCAGTACACTACGAGAATCATTGCAAGAGATTTCACGGTCATCATCATCACAGTGATTCAGGGCTCGTCTCGTCTCAACTCACTTTCAACAACGGGGTCGTCAGGGCCTCGGGCTGAGGCGTGCTTGCGTGCCTGCAGCACGGCCAGATGCACCGGCGTATCACCCCTCGCATCCGCAGCCAAGACCAGTCGACGGAGGGCGTCATCGTTCCGCCGCCGGCGCGCGAACAGCATCAGCGACACGACGAAAGACAGCTGACCTCGACGACACAATTCGTGCAACACAAGCCGACGGCGCGACGTGGAATAAACGAGTCCACACACCTCCACTGGGTCCAAGTCTTTCCGCCGCACGTACGAGTCCAACGCGCCGCATTTCACCAATCTTACCACCTTTTTAGCGTATCTCCGCTTCATCCTGCATTGCAAAGAAATCCATCAACTTCGAGAAACTGTTTTTTTTTTTCGATCCAGACTAAACATTCCACCTCCCGACTTCATTCGATCACCTCAGCGACCAACACCGCGGAACACGAACACACCGACCGGGGTGGGTCGAACGGGCGCCATAGACTGCTCCGAGACAAAAATAGCTGAAGTTTCATTTTTAATTAGTTAGAGCTCGATGAAATTATCTTGACGGGATTCCGAAGTAGGCCCAAGTTCTCTATCTCGCACTCGACCACGTCGCCGTCGCGCAAAAACACCGGCGGCTTCCGGAATACACCGACGCCCGGAGGAGTTCCAGTCAAGATGACGTCACCCGGGAGCAGCGTACAAAATCTAGTGAGTGAGAGACAGAAAAAAACAAGAAACAAACGACATTTTCAACAACCAGTGTTGATTGAAACCAGGCACCACAGAACGCAATACAATAAAAGAATAAACAGATCAATCAATCAATGCAATCACAAGTCGAACAAAAAAATCACAATAACTTACTTGGAGGCGTATGCGACAACACTAGCCGAGTCAAACACCATCTGCTTTGTGCTGCTCTCCTGCCGCGTTTCTCCGTTGACACGGCAAACGAGTCTCAGATCCTGGCCCGCCACCTCGTCACTCGTCACCAGCCAGGGCCCCAGGGGACAGAAGGTGTCCATGGCCTTGGAGAGGAGCCACTGGTTGGCGTTCCTGCCCGTCAGTTGCCAGTCCCTGGCACTCACGTCGTTGGCGACGGCGTAGCCAAAGATGTGCTCGTGGGCCCGGTCTTCGGGGATGTTCTTGCCAGCCTTTCCGATGACGAGTGCGAGTTCCACCTCGTAGTCCACTTGGTCCGTGAGGCCGGACTCGACGCGAATCGGACAGCCGGCGCCGATCAACGTGCTCGGGAACTTGTTGAACACCACGGGCTCCGTGGGCACCGGCATTCCTTGCTCCTCGCAATGATCGCGGTAGTTCATGCCCACGCACAGCACTTTGTCCTGCCCCGTGACGGGTGGGAGTAGTTCCAACTTGCTCAAGTCCAAAACCTTCATACCCGACAACCTGAGAGAGAGAGTCACACACACACACACACGAATTGGCTAAGTTCCGATTTTTCCAATTTTCAATAAATACAGCCCTGTACGGTGAAATGCTGAACTCGATTCCACTCATTACTCACTCATCGGGAATGCGAGGCAGCAAGTCGGCATCACGATCCTTGCTGCCCAAGATGATTTGAAGCACGCTGCGGAATCCCGGACACGGCACAACGCGCGTCTCGCCGTCACCAGGCACCACGACGCCAACGCACGTTTCGCCCGATCCCGCGGGATCCAGATACTGTAACAACTTCATCCTCAGTCTTTGTCTCTTGATCCCTGCCCAAAAGACCTTCACGGATTAGAAAGAAAAAGGAAGAAAAAGAAACATACATCCATCCAGGAGATTGAAAATAAATAAATAAAACGGATTCAAACAAAATAACACACGTTCTGCGGCACAAAAAAAAAAAAAACCATCTTCCTGCGGTTTAGAACCGGAATCACAAAGCCAATCGAAGATTCCAACTTGAAGCATCGCCAAGGGCAGATTTGGCGTAAACAAAAAAAAGAGGTCATTCATCTACAACTTCGGATGAACTGAACCCTGCGACGGGGTCACGATCGTGAATAAATTTGACTGTCGCAGGAAAAACAGAAAAGAATTTAAATCGGTTGCCCATCTGGCCTGTCCCTCGGCCCGTAAGAAGGTCGAATGCCGACAAGAGTGCCCTTTGCTTGTCCCGTTCGTCTTGCTGGCAACTGGACAACAGTCGCTGCCGTTCGGAGAGAGAGAAAAAAGCAAAAAATTACGACGTTCATTTCACATCATCTGGTACTTCCCCCACCCCAAAGTCATATGATATTTTCCCGTGCCCCACAAATTGAAATACAGTACATCCCGTGCATCAGTCACAAGGAGAAAAAAAAAACTGCATCTTCCTTCCTTTTCTCACCTCGAGTCGCAATTTCATGCCAATATTGAGGAGAAAGTCGGCTTGACTGACGGGGCCGTAGCACAGGATTTGGTTGTCACCAGATGACGCCCAACGCTGCAAGAAGGAAAAATCCACATCGGCAGTCAAGTCCGTCTCCCCAGGCCGGGAAAGCGGGTCAGTCTGCTCGTGCCTCCGATACGCCTGCAAAGATAGGGGGAAAGGAATGAATAAACAAAAATAAAAGAATTACACAAGCGTTCAGGTTATACTCCACTACTACTACTAATATTTGGCTGTGTGTGTGTCGCCTACCACCTACCCAAGCTACACTCACCCGAAACGAGTCCACGCCGGACGCTCCATTGTGGCCGTAGTCGACAACGAGGAACACTCCTCCGTCTCGGTGAATCCGTTGCCCAATTCGTTGCGCGATCACGCCGGCCTGCGGACACACTTCCCACAAATCCCCTGTTTCAGGCGGCGGGCCTAGGGCCTTCACCACCGGTGTCTCGTGCTTAGACACGACAAACCGTAGCTTCGACTCACTCCCACCAGAGTCCATGTCAACGAGCACTTCTCCCCAGACGCCTCCTTGCCTCTGGCATGGACGATGAAAAAAGAAAAAAACCCCTGTCTTCGGAACAAAGTCCGTTCAGACCTCAGTAGTACCGCTCCATACCTTCAATACGTGTACGGGCAATGCGTCAAAAAATTCGTGCGCGAGCCACAGCGTGAATCGGCCCGTTGGCACGGTGTCGAATCGTGAATGCCACTCGACGTCCGAGACGGCGCACGACTCCAACGCCTGCTTCTGAACAGCGCGAAGACGAGGACTCACTTCAACCAGGTGCAGGGTCACATTTGATCTGAAGGGTTCGTGTCGACACATGACCTGCAGAACCAGGACTTGATCAATTTACACAACTTCGAACATTTCCTGTTGAAAGAGTTTTTTCGTGCTTCCGTTTTTACGTAGGAGGGGTGATTTCTTACCTTGAGGACGTCGGAAACTAGCGTGCCTCTTCCTGGCCCGAGTTCGACCACCTGCACTGGCGTGGGCTCTCCCAATTTCATCCACTCGCTCAAGAACCAAACCCCGAGCATCTGGACACAATAGGCGGAAAAGAAGAAGGAACAAAAAACTCGAGATGCGGCCCCTCACCCAAAACAGTTGATTGACAGGATACGACGCAACACCATTAATCACAACTTTCTCACCTCGCCGAACATCGGACTGATTTCGGGAGACGTGACGAAATCCCCGCGCGGGCCAAACACGTCAGCGCACATGTAGTAGCCCAGGCTTGGGTGCGTCAGACACTCGCGCATGTAGTCCGCAACTGTAATTGGCCCGCACATTCGAATTTTGGCTAAGAGCTGGCCCAGCAAGCTGTTTCTTTTCTCCTGACTCTGCCGAAACGCACAACGGCGAGCCCACGTCCGCCACCCGGTTCCACTCATTCCCTCGACGCCCAGAACACACCGACTCGCGGCGGAAAGCACCCACATCTCTGCAAGGGTGTAGACAAAACAAACAAACAAACAAAAACCGTACTTCCCATCCACCTCTTCAAATGTTATTAATTTTTTTTTCGTTCGCTAAGTTTTCTACTTGGCAAAGTCGCACCACACGAAGCATCTCTCAATAAACGGATGAGTCACGACGCAAGCAAGAGAGAAAGAAACAAAAGGGATGCGGGGGACTGCGTTCGTTGTACTCGGGGAAATTATTCGACTGAAGTGATCACGACCTACGAATCAAGATTTCACAAAATTCAAGTCACGCCGACCAGGATCGAACGACGATTTTGCGCGCAAAAGACGAAACAACGGGAAAGTTGACGGCCTTTTTGAACCCCGAAGGAACAGGTATGACGCTGTGCCTTGTTCGTGCCAAGCAATTCTTCCTGTCCTCCGTGGTTCAACCGTCCTTCATGAAAAATAGACAGCTTTTCAATATCCGTTCGCTGTATGTCAAGTTCTCAAGCAATCCGTGAAAGCAGACCGATCAGAAAAAAAAGTGGACATCGAATCAATCAAATCTTCACAGTATAAGCATCACCATTTTCCCGTCATCAACCCCCTCCCACCCAGTAGCTACGTCAGCTGGACCACATATTCATACCCTTATTCCCTTCCTGCTGAACACACAGATTCCCCTATTCTAGTTCAGAGTGACAAAAAATAAATAAATAAAAATCTCCTCGCCAACGCTGAGCTTTGTTGTCAAAAATAAATAAATGCGCAAAATAGCATTAAGCAATAGCATCGTTCTCCCGTCCTCTTCAAAATTTGTTAAACAGACTCATATCGCGAAAAGAAACAAGGGGGGAAAAAAGGAAGGAATGAATGCATCAGAAGAGGATAAAGTAGTCGCCCGGGGTCTTCTCTCTACAGTTGAAGAGGTGAGGCAGCCACTTCGCCTTGATTGTCAGCTTGGTTGAAGGCAGTCCAATCGGCCGCGATCGGCGCAGACAGCATCGCCTGAGACGTGGCAAACGCATCCACCAGCGGCACGGCCATCTCGGCCATTCCGCGACACAGGTCAGCCTCCAGGCCAACCAGGTCCCTGGCCTGCTCCAACGACACGTTGCCCGCCATAAGATGCTTGGCCAGGTCCCGCTTTGCGATTGACGCCAGAAATAAGAGATAGATGGCGCGCAGAGCCGCCAGCGAAGGATCGTCCGGTCCGCGACTGGCCTGCAACTCGTCAAGCACGCGAACAAAGGCGTCCGCGCACACGCGCTCGCCAAAGCACGTGCTCGCATCCTGCACCAACGCCGCCTCGTGTTTGACCCACATGTCGTACACATTCTGTCCGGCTGCTTTGGTCTTGCTGCCCAGCTCAACGAAGCAGTCGTGCTCGCGCTTGGCCAAGAGAGCGTACAGCGTCGACGCGTTCTTCACCTCGCCACGCATGGCCGACGCCCACGCGTCACTCCCACGAAAAGCCGACAACTGCTCTTTGGCCGCCTTCGTCATGAGCACGCAATTGTCGCCCTCCGCCGTCATGGCGGCATGCGCCAACCCAATGTAGTTTCCGAACTTGTTGCACGACAAATAGCCCTGGCCTCCGCAACGCTCGCGACAAACGGACGCCACGCGTTCCACGTGCCACGACGCCAGCGGTTTCAGAACGCAGCACAAACGCACCACCTCGGCATGCTCCGATCCGTCAGCAGCCTGCAATGCACGGACAAAATACATTCATGAAGTTTTTCAAAAGTTGCACGATTCATACCCCTAATGAAGAACAGTTTCTTCATTGGTCTCTTCGATCAACACGAGTTTTTCTAATTTTGCATGACTGACGGCTGCTTTCCTGCCTTACGGAATATCGCGGATGATCGACGCGTGAAACCACGTGTCGATCATTCGCGAAACAAGATAAACTTGTCCCCCCCCCCCCCCCCCCGCTCCCTCTACCCGGTAATCTCACCTGGTTGGCCCAACGCTCCTGCACGGCGTTCAGTCCAAAGTTTAGTGCGTACGTTCGCGCCAGCAAAGGCATGAGTGCCAGCTGCTGCACCTGATAGTTGAGGATAGGAGTGTCCGACTTGCCACTCGGACCCGCCGTCAACCGCGTCGACGCATACTTCACTGCGATGGTCAGCGCGGCTTTAGCAGCTCCCTCATTTATTTCAATGCGGGGAAAGAAGAATGCAGAAGATAAAAAATCATCAATTAATTCATTACAATGAAATTTCATCAAATGAGGATTTAATTTTAATTTTTTTTTCTCCAACACATGTTGGGAGCTATGTGAAGAGAGAAAGAGACACACACACACATACACACGAATCAAGTGTACAGTAAGTACTGTACTCACTATCGACATGCTGGCTATACATAGTCTCCCGCTCAGCAACTGGTCTGCCACGGCCAGGAACCGCTTGCGGATACCGTTGATGTCCGACTCGAAGCGGCCCTGATCGTCGATGCGCGAGTACCGGTCCAGCAGCGCATCCAACGGCACTCGCACGTCCTTGAAATGCAGCTTGGCGTTGTCCACTCCGTTGAGTCCCATCTTGAGTCCCATGTCTTCGACGCGGATGCCCGGCAGTACGCACATTGAGTCGTCGCGGATCCGCACGAGGAAGCCGTGAATCCCATGTCGCTGTCCATCCGGCATCTCCAGCTGGGCAAACACAACGGCCCACTGGGCGTGCACGGCTCCGTTGGTGATCCAGTACTTCCATGACAACGGCGTCGTGGACGACAGGCAGAACTCGCGTCGGGACATGTCCAACCGGGCCACAGTCTCCATCTCAACGGCATTGTTGCCAAAGCCCAGCTCCGTGAGTCCAAAGCACCCGACGGCGTCCAACGAGTCGATGGCGTCCAGGAGCCGGTCGTGGTGCTTGGCCTTCGTGCCGAGCTTGAGCACCGTGCCGCCAAACAAGTTAAACTGGACCGTCATCTTGGTGGCCATGGACGGGTCGACGACAGCGCACAACTCGTGAGCCGCGAAGATCTGCAGCGGGTTGCGCACGAAGTCCTTGACGGAGATGAACCCGGCATCGCACACAATCTGGAGCCGACGCAAGGCCAGGTCGCGTTCCTCCGCCAGCGGAATGTTGTAGCGCGGCACCATGGCCCCAGTGGCCAGGAGGTCTCGCAGCGCGTCTCGCGACTCCCAGTTGTTGGCATCCAGCAGGCGCTTCAACACGGCCGAGTCCAACGCCGCAGCACGGGTACTGCCCCATCGACGACACCAGGGGGCAGACGGTGAAGCGTGAATCGTCGCCGATGACGCTGCCGCCGTCACTCGAGCCCACCGAGCAACGGCTCGTGGCTTCGCTCCTCTGAGCAACAGGTTTGTCGCTAGCATCATTGGTTCGCACGCAGCCCGAGTCAGTCACTCATTCACTCACTCGATCACTTCCTAATAACATCCCCCCTGTCGCTGCACATTGGACACATATACACAAACGAACACGAATGAGTAAATATTTCAGTCATTTTTATAAAAAGGAATTCGGGGGGGCAAAATATACGCAGGATTCAAGCCGCCGCGGGAAACAAACAAGAGGATGAATCGTTTTATTCTTTTCACTCCTTCCCCCGCTTCATACAGAGTACTGTATATACACCGTGCGTATAGGCCAAGCACGGAGATGCGAGAGAGATCACATCCGATGCCTTTCATTTATTTTTCGAGGCAACGATTAAGTCCGTGCGGGACGCAAATTATAGACGTTATTCAACTTCCTCCTCCTCCCGCTGCTCCTGCTTCACCGTTGTGCGTACAACGGCGGAATCGTCTATCCAACTCCACTCCCGACTCTGGCAACAGACGTCGCAATCGGGATCGAATCGAGCTCGTCTCACTGCTGCGCTCTTCAATTCCAGACTCTAGTTTGGACCAGCACCTGCGCAAAATCAAGCCGGTATAATAGTTGAAGCGTCGCAGGACAGGAATTACTTGACTGACTCCACGAGAGCCTCACACCGGGCCATCTCCAACAGCAGTCCTCGCGCCATCACATCTCGTTCCGCCACTGCTGCGCGCAGCGAACACATGCTAGTGTTGCAGATGAGTGATTCCAATCTCGCGACATCCGCCTACACAACGCGACGACTCGTCCACGTACAGTACATTCTTCGCCTACTTCCGTCTTCTCCGGCAACAATCCAACTCACCGACAAAGCTTCCGCTTTCACCTGCAACCTCTTCACCTCCGCCATCACAAATGATTCCTGATGCGCGGCATCCGTCGTTTTCGCCACATCTTCGTCGAGAAGCCGCAGTGCCAGCAGCCTGCTACCAATCTCTGCCCGGCGGTCTCGCAGCACTTGAATACGGCACAAACGCTCGGCTTTCACGCTTTCCTCGACACCCACTGCCATCGCCGTCGACATCTCAGACTCGTTCCTCCCTGGTCGTGAGCCACGTATGAAAAATACGGGGTCAAGTACTCCACTGTATTGCACAACACGTGGCGAGTTCGGGTTTCTTGTCTGCACAAAGGTTCATGAACACGAACGCTCATCATTCGCGCGCGCGAACCATTACAAAATGAATCCGCACAAGTTTCCCACAAAGGATGAATCCGTTCCAACTCTTTCTTTTGTCCCCATTTTCGCTCACTGCGGCAAGCCATTTGCACCATAAAATATGACTCGACATCATCACAGACTTTTTGCGCAATAGCACCAAATAGCCATCTCCACCTCTCGAAATACACGAGTACCGCAATACAGTTAGTATCAATCACTACACTCACTTCCGGAACTCTAACATTAAGCACAAAAGTGCGTGAGAAAAGTACTGACACCGCGACAACGCAAGGGACGCATGGTGAGTCAAGCGAGGGACACGATCGCGTCGTTTCCGCGGGACTTGGTGGATGTTGCAGACACAGAATCAATCCGCCTTAGGGGAAACCCATCGAAAAGCAACATTAGCAACAAAAAAATAAAATTCGCCTCGTGCGGGAGAGAAACAGAAAGCAACTCGGCTGAACACGGACGACTCGCGTCAAGTGCTGAGTCCGAAAAGCTTAAGGGCATTGAACGTGGTGGCCAAAGCAACATCCTCCGGGGACTTGTTGAGGAAGGCGGCGATCATTTCCACCGTGGCCGGCAGGGAACACGGCTCGTTGCGCTGAAATGAGCAGTAGCGTTGGAGGTAGGAGAGGGCCCTTGGCGTGAGACGGTCCCGCACATGCGAGGGCACCTTGGATGCCCGAGTGTTGGGAAACATGAACGGGGCGTCCGTCTCCACCAACAACCGCTCCAACGGCAGAAGGCCCGTCTCTAGCATGTGGCGCAACCCCTCGGTCGTCTTGTCCTTCCACAAATACCCTGTTGGAATTGAGCGGGAAATAAGTCACGTTTCACGTCACGAGAAGTCGACCCAGACTGCAGCGCGCACCTGTGAGTCCAATGTAGAAACCCATGTCGAGGTAGGTGGCCAGTTGGGCCACAGAGCCCGTGAAGCAGTGCACTACACCTGCCGGTAGCCGGTGCCCAAACTTGTTCAGCACGCCCACCAACTCGTCATGGGCGTCACGTTCGTGCAGGAACAGCGGCTTTTTCACGTCACACGCCAAACCTACCTGCGAGAGAGCAAGACAAAGAATAATACAGGGTGAAAAGAGAAAAATGATCAATTTTTCTTTCCTCGACCGACAGTCAACTCTCACGAACACCCCCGTGCGTCGTCACTATTGGCTAACCTGTTTCTCGAACACAGCCATCTGAACAGCAGGTTCTGAAAAGTTGCGGTTGAAGTCCAGGCCGCACTCGCCGATAGCTACGCATTCCACGCTGTTGGCCACCTCCTTGAGAGTCGAGTAAGAATCCTCTGTCCAGCTCTTGGCCTCGTGCGGGTGCACGCCTGAGATAAACCACAAAGTAAATAACAGAAGATCTCCACACCAACCGTATCTCCTTTCGTGGTCCGCCTCGCTCACCTGCCGTACAGTAGAGAGTACCCGCGTAGAGCCGCGCAAGCCGCAAAGCATCTTTACTGCCCTGCACCGACGTCCCCGTCACCATGATCTTCTGCACACCTGCCGGCATCAGAAGATCACGAACCAAAATTCAAACTTCATTCAAGTCGATAGAAATGCAAGACACAAACACACACACACACACACAAGGACTCACCCGCATCTCTGGCGCGTGCAACCACATGCTCCAGATCCTTGGAGAACTTCTTGTTGGTTAAATTGGCACCGATGTCCACGATGATGTAGTTTTCCAACGACCTTGCCACAGCTTCATCCATGATTTTCCCACGCGTCCCGAGTTTCAAAAACTTGAGCGTAAGGTCATTCTAACCATGTAAGTCGTGCGCTAGCATCACTTTCACTGATCGTCTCGTCTGCTGTCTGTCTAAGAATGGAAGGAACCGTCTAGTCAAGTCATTATACAAATTTACTGAATGAAGAGGACAAGCCGAAATGAAAAGAATATGCACGGAGAAAGAAAAAAAAAGAATGAACCTGGTGTTCCGTTGTCCTCGCGTACGATGTCAATAGTTGTTCGACAAATTACACACAATATCGTACATATCGGATCCCTCACGATCGAAGCCATAATCATCCTCATCGACAGCACGGGAAGATAATGTGAAACAATGAGCGAGGGTAACGACATCAACGGGTATTAGAAATTCGCAAGTTTGAAAACTGTAAAAAAAAAACACCCCGTAGGTTTCGCACTATAATGAGAAGAAGAGAAAGGAGGAGGAGGAGGGGAAAGCATTTTAGCTGCCCGACCAACCGAAAAACAATATTTTTGTTGCAACAGAACACAACTCGCTCGCACTCGCACACTCGGATCCTTTCAGCAGCACACACGCTGAATGAAACAAAAGATGGCACGAGAAGCTACCAGCCTCGCCGCGGCGGCGATATAACTCCCATTACATCATCTTGGCCGCAGAACACCACGCTCGGATGGAACCAAGAAGCAGCATCACAATCAATCCTAAACCATAAGCAAAACACGAAAAAATCGCTCCGGTTCTGACCGCTACATTACAAATCCCGCTTCCACGCTTGCAAGTTTCCTCCTCCTCGTAGAAATTCTTGAGGTCGCTACGAGCGGCAATTACAAATACTTTTTTTTTCTCTGGGCTGCGTAGTAGTACCGTCCAAAGGGCAGGAGAGGCATTCAGCCCTCACCTTCACTTCATCATCCACTCAACAATCATCAATATACCGTCTCCGCGGCCGGATAAAACTCATCTGCAATAAGAATTGATGGTGAGCTACTCCTCAAGCAAAAAACTCTTGTGACTGCTTGTTCGACGGCGTCTTCCGTGGCTCCTCCAGCGGGTACGAACCCTCGTCCATTTTCCGCATGCGGTAGACAATGTACATCAGCAGCAGGACTGTACATAGCAGCCCCACAACCACACCGCCGATGACAGCTGCACACGGGGAAACAAATGCAAGTATTTTACGGTCGACAGAAACACGAATGAGACACAAGTATCTTACCTGCGAGAATCCCCGGCTGTGCGAAGAAAGATGCAGGTCTGTCCGAGTTGCTCACATGACCAATGATGTGCACGTCCTGTCCTGGCTTTCCGGAATCAGCCGCGTTCACATCTCCAGATGACGAACTTCCTCCAGGATGCGACTCCGCCACCTCATTGATCGATCCGGGCAACGTGATGTCACCGTTCGTATTCTTATTCACGTTACCACTATTTTTCCCGGACGATTTGCTATCCGGCTTCGCAGCGGGCTTCCAAGGAGTTTCCCATACATTGTCGTTCGGTTTCGGGTACGTAATAGCGGGAGAACCTGCAGACGATGAATAAGGCAAGAGTCGCAACAAAGCGAGACAAGCAAACTTACCGTCGCCTGAACCTTCCACTCCACGAGGAGCGCTTTCCAAGTCGTCATCATCGATCTTCCTACTCGGTACACCACCAGAGCCTTCTACCTGCGTGTTTGACCGGCCGCGAACATCATCTTCGTCGTCGTTGATTCCGTCTGGCCAGTGCGATGTATCGCCACTTCCTTCTGTGGCACCACGTTCCTGGATTTACGCAAGAATACTTCTTTTAAGATTCCGTATCCACGCAGCGAGTACCGTCGAGAACATCACATACCCAACCAGCATGCGTACTCGACGCTGCTTCTCCAGCGACGAAACAAGAGCAGCTGAAGAAGAGGATAGTCCCAACAAACGCCAGTTTCAACAACATACCTGTTCGCAGCGATCTTCAGTTCGTCACGCAACACGGATCGCGCTTCACGACTTACAAAACCACGCCTCACTAATCACTCGAGTCAGTGAACTGGTACTCACTGGGGCTCCAACTGAGATCAACAAGCAAATCCGATGCAGATTATGTATTCAATCTCAACATTTTACATGCAACGAGATTCATAGCAAAACGCGCGAAGGCTTCAACACTCACTTCTATGTCAGCCATGTCTTCCAATCCCACTCTCTGATACGATTACAAGTGCAAGCGAATTCTCACGAAATTCGGTGAAACGGCGCAAATCGATCAATCTTCAATTGCATGATTCACACTACAGTACTGTGGTCACAAACAGCCACACATTTCCCGTGAATGTGTACACTGAGACTAAGACCAGGTGAGGTTACACTTTCCAACTCACCGCCACTCACTTGCACGCTGCACCCTTACAGGGCTCATCCATTCAGTAAGGGATCCCTCATCAGTATCCTTAGAGCGACATCTACCTACAACCTCTGAAACAAGACTCGCCTGTTTTTTCGCACCCACCCAGCCTTCAACCAGAAGGAGATGGTTATCACAATTGGAGGAGATGCGCGCCAAGCGCGAAGGTTGGACCGCTGTGGGCGGCAAAGCATACTACCCCAAAATCTTACTCCAGGAGTACACCCTGCCTAGGCAGGGTGTACTCCAGTGTGTGCAATGTCGTCCGGCGGGTCTCTTCAAATTCGTGGAGTGAAATTCCATGGTGAATGCATGCAGTAGTTCTTTTGACAAAATTCAGAGGAGAGCCAATTCCATGGTGATTCTTGAAGTGGCATTTACTCTGGCAAACAAATTTTAAATTCTGCCAAAATAAATTTTCACAGGAGGCGTTGTTATAGACCAGCATGATGGGAAAAATGTGTGCAAAGTGCATTATGAAGTGCTAACAAAGCATGGTACAGGTAAATCTCAATAAGTTGAACATTCCTAAGTCAAATTTTTTCAAGTCCCTGTCCATTTTTGCATTACTGGCAACATCCATGCGTCATTCTGAAAAAAGAGTCCAGGTACACTCCAATAATCTGACAGCCCTATGTTGTGCTGCCAATGAGGTACACTATCCTCAGTCTTGCCACCAGTCCAATTTTATTCTCTATGCAGGTACATCAGTACTGTACACATACAACTGTGTACAATATTCAAATTGAAATGTGAATTGACACTTCAATTATAACGATTGTGGGGATAAATAAGGTGATGAATAAGTACAATACTGTATATGGGGGATGAAACAAAAAGATGGGGATGAATGATCAAAATACTGAGGCATTGTTGGCCACGCTCAATCAAGTTTAATCATTGACGGGATATTGACAATTAAGTGCAACCTAAATTTATTCAAAACCGTGTTATACGCTATGTACCCATAATTTCACTTTGTCAATTAATTTTGATGGCAATGGGGGATTTTATATAGCCGATTGCATGAATGGATGTAGAATGAAAACTGAACTGATGTTGACAACCCAGTGCTGGTGGATTTTGCAATCAGTGATTGATATACGGTGGAGTGCTGGTTAACAAACCTTCCAGTTGGCAAACTTTTCAGTTCACAAACTTTTGTCCTCCAAGAAAAATCCCTTTATTGGATAAGAAAAATATCTCCTCAGATTCAAATCGTTATGAACATATAAATAAAGAGAAACTTATGTGCTGAACCTCCAAAAAGAAGTAAAACTTGAATGAATTAATGCTGACCTATTTACTCGCTTGGCTTGTATATACGTGAATGAAGTAATTGCTGTAATAATACCCTCGTTCGACGTAAAAAAAAAAAAAAAAAAAAAAAAAAAAAAAAAAAAAAAAAAAAAAAAGNAAAAAAAAAAAAAAAAAAAAAAAAAAAAAAAAAAAAAACCTGAAAGGAGAATAGCCGCGTAATTAAATCGCGAGGAAATTTCTCGCTGGATGCAATATTTATAAAATTTTCCTATACACGTAGTTTTTCTCGTTTGAATGTCTGTATATATCTGGACCAGCAATCTCCTTCTTCTTCTGTCAGCGGCATTTCTCGACCAAGGACATTCTCACATCATGGTAAAACTCGTTTCGCTTGGATATACTGTATATAGTACAGTACAGCTAGTGTTTATTGAATTCCTGTTATTGGAAAACGATGATGGAAGAATGTCGCGGAAACAGCGGGAATAAATAAGGTGATGAATAAATACAGTACTGTATATGGGGGATGAAAGAAAAAGATGGGGATGAATGATGGAAATACTGAGGCATTGTTGGCCACGCTTGTCGTCGTCTTTCAGGTTTTCAGTCCCTCGTCGCGTTATCCTTGAATCTGCTGATGGTCATCTTATTCTGTTTCCAGCTATCGTACGTGTAGCGGGTGTTTCTTATTATTGTCACGACGATGCTGCTGCTTCTACTGATGTCACGCAGTTGCCCCCCGTATACGTGCCGCGAGTCTACGTGGAATGGAATGAAGTTGCTCGTTCTCATCGTCGCGATAGAGACGTTCGGTGCGAAGTTGGTGAAATTCCGTACATCAGTGAAACATTAACACCATGATGCAGTCCAATGGTTGATGCTGGTCACATCATCTGTAAACAATTACTGAGAGATGATGTTGCCAGCAGCACTGCTGTATTCTGCTTTATTTATACTATTTCCTCAATCAACGTACGTTGTCTTGCTGCGTGGAGGGAATCATTTACAATACTGTATATAGGATTTTAACCATTAGAATATGTATGTATATACTCGATTTGTATAATGACGACCCATTCTTGCTGGTCGGGCTTGAAAAATAGACTTGCAGTCTGAGAATTGCATTGCACATACTGTATGTCACTTATTCTTATCGAGCTATAGCTCATGCCTTATTTCCCATAGGATAATATACTCGGATTACAACCAATCCGACAGATTTTTATTTCTTTTCAAACAATTTCCTACGTGCATGGGGACAGCAGTCGCGTCTTCTGAACGAATTTCATTTCAACCAACTTTTTGCTTTCTTCTACACATCAATCTCTAGAACAGATTAATTGCCCTTCATTATATGCATGCAGCATGGAGAGTATATGTATAGTTGCACACTTCGGAGAAGCCCAACTTAGATATGCGCTTAATTTAAAAACCTCGCAACAGGGGAAGTGCTAATTTTTTAACGAAACATTTCAGGACGTATGAGGGCTCAATTGACAAATAAGTTCATCCTATTTGAAGTTTTAACTGACGATTGAGGCAATATTTTGAAAACAAGTATGTTTCAAGGGGTATATTGCTCTTTATTTACATCAGAGAACATGCGGTTGTTATTTATGATGAATAAATGCTCTACTACAGTATACTTACATGCTTTGATTTTCTGGCTGTATCTCTGCATGCTTATACATACTTCCGTCAGACGAGCATATTTTTGAATAATTTCAAGAAAGGAAAGTTCTGGAACATTGCATTTTTATTTTTGAATTTTCTGTGTTATTTTTTCCAAAGAAGTTGTGAGTGATGATGCCTTTTTTTCACATATCCTTTTCTCTTCATCCTTTCAGCAAAAACTATGGTTCCCCATGAAACAATTTACTGGTTTACTGTACAGACAACTTTATATATAGACCCTGAATGTAATCAAAGTTATGCATTACCTGCTATATATGGGAATAATGTACGTAGCAATTACCTGAGTCGATATTACTTACTCAACTCAACAAGAATAAGAGAGCAGGAACAAAGCAGGCTAAACCTTATTAGCATCAGTGAAGCGGGTCTCCTCAATAAATAATGACGATAAATATTCAACACTTGGCAAGTACTGTATTGCTATCATGGATTGGCTGCAGCAGTTGTTGTTCTCTGGTGACAGATGAGTCTGTATATGTCAACAGAGTCCTGCTGCAGCCAGACAACTGCAGTGACTGATCACAGGTGCAGGACTTTGCTCTTGGTAACTTGAACAGGCAGTTTGAGTTGGGTCCTAGTGCAAAGCGAATAAGCAGCTAAAGCTCTTGGTCAATTATACCCCCGTATGATGAAACTCCGTTTTCCTGGCTAACTTGGCAGCCACCCTGGCAGTA